GTGCACGACGACCTCGCCGAGGGCCTCGAGCACCTCCCGCTTGTAGTCGTCGAAGTCTCCGTCGATCTGGCTCAGGCCCTGCTCCTCCACCACCCACAGCTGGCAGTTGGTCTCGGTGATGAGCCGGGCGTCGTGGCTCACCACGATCACCGCTGCGACGACGTCACGGTGACGTCACGGCGACGTCACGGTGACGTCACGGTGATGTCACAGCGGCGGCGTAACCCGACCGCACTCCCCCCCTCCCCGTGTCCCCACCCCACCCCACCCACAGTTGGTCTCAGTGGGGACATAATCAGCAGCATAGTGATCACTGTGACGTCACTGTGACGTCATCGTGACGTCACCACAATGTACTAACGATGTCACGATCAAACCGCCCCACCCCCCCGCCCACCCAGAGCTGGCAGTTGGTCTGGGTGATGACGTCATCATCGTAATCGCAGTCGTCGTCGTCGCCATGACGTCACCATGATGTCATCATCGCATCGTGACGTCATCACCACGACACCATCACGTGATCGTACCGTGATGTCATCATCGTGACGTCATCCCGACATCACCGTGCCATAATCACACCGTCACGATGACATCACCATGACGTCACCGTGACGTCACACGACACCCCCGTGACGTCACCCTGTCCCCCCAGTCCCCGCCCCCCCGACTCACCCCCCTTGTAGTCGTTGATGGCGTCGGCCAAGGCGTCGATGGACTCGATGTCCAGGTTGTTGGTGGGCTCGTCCTGGGGGGGATCCAGGTGTCCAGGGGAGCCTTGGCCACGCCCCTCCGCCCATTGGCCACGCCCCCAGCCCCACTAGCCACGCCCCCACTCACCAGGATGAGCACGTCGGGCTCCCGACAGGCCAGTTCGGCGAAGACCACCCGGGCCTTCTGCCCGCCTGGGGGGAGGGGAGGGGCTTGGGTTGGGAAGCCACGCCCACCCTGGCATGGCTCCACCCCCTCTTTCCCTCCCTTTCAATCTAACCCCACCCCTTTCACTCAAACCCCACCTCTTCTGTATCAAACCCTGCCCTCTTCCACTCTGACCACACCCACTCCTCTCCAGCCACGCCCCATCCCTGTAACCCCACCCCCTTTCAGGCCACACCCCCTTCTCCTTAACCCTGCCCCTTACTCTCAGGCCCCGCCTCTCCCAGCTACCCCCGCCCCCTCACTCATAGCCCCGCCCACCCGAGAGCTTGGCGATCTGCAGGGTGTGGGCGTGGCCCTTCCCCTGCCATAGCCCCGCCCCCTCCCCGCTGGCCCCGCCCACCCGAGAGCTTGGCGATCTGCAGGGTGTGGGCGTGGCCCTCGAGGCCGAAGCGCCCGAGGCACTTCCGGGCGTCCTGGTGGGGGAGGTTGAAGCTCCTCTGCAGGAACTCGGCCGCCGTCTCCTCCAAGCGCAGCTGCTCGGCCGCCTGCTGGTTAAAGAACCCCACCTTCTGCGGGGCGGGGACGGGAGGGGTCAGGGACACGCCCAGGGGGGACACGCCCACCCGGGACACGCCCAGGACACACCTGGGACACGCCCTCCCCTGGGCCTGCTGGTTAAAGAACCCCACCTTCTGCGGGGCAGGGAGGGGAGGGGTCAGGGACACGCCCAGGGGGGACACGCCCACCTGGGACACACCCGGGACGCACCTGGGACACGCCCAGAGGAGACACACCCACTGGGACACACCCAGGACACACCTGGGACATGCCCTCCCCTGGGCCTGCTGGTTAAAGAACCCCACCTTCTGCGGGGGGCGGGGAGGGGAGGGGTCAGGGACACGCCCGGGGGGACACGCCCACTGAGACACACCCAGGGCACACCCACCTGGGACACACCCAGCCCTGGGCCTGCTGGTTAAAGAACCCCACCTTCTGCGGGGCGGGGAGGGGAGGGGTCAGGGACACGCCCAGGGGGACACGCCCACCCGGGACACGCCCAGGACACACCCAGGACACGCCCACCCCTGGGCCTGCTGGTTAAAGAACCCCACCTTCTGCGGGGCGTGGAGGGGAGGGGTCAGGGACACGCCCAGGGGGACACACCCACCCGGGACACGCCCAGGACACACCTGGGACACGCCCTCCCCTGGGCCTGCTGGGTAAAGAACCCCACCTTCTGCGGGGGGCGGGGAGGGGAGGGGTCAGGGACACGCCCAGGGGGACACGCCCACCCGGGACACGCCCAGGACACACCTGGGACACACCCAGCCCTGGGCCTGCTGGGTAAAGAACCCCACCTTCTGCGGGGCGGGGAGGGGAGGGGTCAGGGACACGCCCGGGGGGACACACCCACTGGGACACACCCAAGACACGCCCAGGTGAGACACACCCACTTGGACACACCCACTG